TGTATGCTGTGTGCTGTATGCTGTGTGCTGTATGCAATGTGCTGTGAGCTGTATGCTGTGTGCTGTGAGCTGTATGCAGTGTGCTGTATGCTGTGTGCTGTATGCGGTATGCTGTATGCTGTGTGCTGTATGCTGTGTGCTGTATGCAATGTGCTGTGAGCTGTATGCTGTGTGCTGTGAGCTGTATGCAGTGTGCTGTATGCTGTGTGCTGTATGCGGTATGCTGTATGCTGTGTGCTGTATGCTGTGTGCTGTATGCAATGTGCTGTGAGCTGTATGCTGTGTGCTGTGAGCTGTATGCAGTGTGCTGTATGCTGTGTGCTGTATGCTGTGTGCTGTATGCAATGTGCTGTATGCTGTGTGCTGTATGCAGTGTGCTGTATGCTGTGTGCTGTATGCGGTATGCTGTATGCTGTGTGCTGTATGCTGTGTGCTGTATGCAATGTGCTGTATGCTGTGTGCTGTATGCTGTATGCTGTGTGCTGTATGCAATGTGCTGTATGCAGTGTGCTGTATGCTGTATGCTGTGTGCTGTATGCAATGTGCTGTATGCTGTGTGCTGTATGCTGTGTGCTGTATGCTGTGTGCTGTATGCAATGTGCTGTGAGCTGTATGCTGTGTGCTGTGAGCTGTATGCAATGTGCTGTATGCTGTGTGCTGTATGCAATGTGCTGTGAGCTGTATGCTGTGTGCTGTATGCAATGTGCTGTGAGCTGTATGCTGTATGCTGTGTGCTGTATGCAATGTGCTGTGTGCTGTATGCTGTATGCTGTGTGCTGTATGCTGTGTGCTGTATGCAATGTGCTGTGTGCTGTATGCTGTATGCTGTATGCTGTGAGCTGTATGCTGTGAGCTGTATGCTGTGAGCTGTATGCAATGTGCTGTATGCTGTGTGCTGTATGCTGTGTGCTGTATGCTGTGTGCTGTATGCTGTGTGCTGTGAGCTGTATGCTGTGAGCTGTATGCAGTGTGCTGTATGCAATGTGCTGTATGCTGTGTGCTGTATGCAGTGTGCTGTATGCTGTGTGCTGTATGCGGTATGCTGTATGCTGTGTGCTGTGAGCTGTATGCAGTGTGCTGTATGCTGTGTGCTGTATGCAATGTGCTGTATGCAGTGTGCTGTATGCTGTGAGCTGTATGCAGTGTGCTGTATGCTGTGTGCTGTATGCAATGTGCTGTATGCTGTATGCTGTGTGCTGTGAGCTGTATGCAGTGTGCTGTATGCGGTATGCTGTGTGCTGTGAGCTGTATGCAGTGTGCTGTATGCTGTGTGCTGTATGCAATGTGCTGTATGCTGTGTGCTGTATGCAATGTGCTGTATGCTGTGTGCTGTATGCAGTATGCTGTATGCTGTGTGCTGTATGCAGTATGCGGTATGCTGTGTGCTGTATGCGGTATGCTGTATGCTGTGTGCTGTGAGCTGTATGCAGTGTGCTGTATGCAGTGTGCTGTATGCAGTGTGCTGTATGCAGTGTGCTGTATGCACCTGGCTATGTGATAAAGTGCAGGAGTCACCGGGAGCTCAGCACACGAGCTCCCAACATGGCGATTCAGCTGGAGTGAGTATAACTGGCAGCCCAGGGGTTTGGCTGATTAAGGAGGGGGCATGCATATAGCTGAGGGTGTGTGTACAGCAATCAGGAACAAACACACACACACACACACACGCACACACACACACACACGCACACACACACACACACACATGTGCGCATGCATGAAGACAGTCAGGAATACTTGTTTACACACTCACACAAACACGCACCCACGCAAGATGCAGACGGCTATCAAACACAAACACACACACACGAGAGGGACCAAGCAGTCGATGTGGGGAAGGAGGGGAGTGCTTGAACATTTGTACGAACACACAGACACACAGACACACACACACAAAACCCCATGCTCATGCAAACACGCACACCGTCACTGAACCCAGTCCCTATCCTCCATTCTCATATGAGGAGATTAAGGTTGCTAAGACCGAACATCTGCCCTGGATCCAGCGCCCTCTGGAGGTGGCCACGCACTCACACACACCAGGAACACCCCCCATCCTCCAGCCTTCACAGACCATCCACAAACCCCCACCACTAGCACCCAGAAAACCATCCATCCGCCCACCACAAAGACCCCCCCCACACACAGGTGTGGAATCTGAGTGTGGTGTTACAGGGCACCAGCCAATCACCATCAAGAGTCCTCCATCCGCCCCCCTTCAAGGTGGGACTCCCCCTCTACCTATGTGGGCAGCAAATGGCGTCAGCCAATCAGCAGGCAAGGCTTCCGTATGTTGGGGGGGTGGCCCAGGGAAGTGCAGCCGGAACTGGAGGGGGGCTGGGGGGGCCTTTTATGGCTCGCCGGAAGCCTCACTTTGGGAGGGGGGTTACCGTGGCAACAGCACGGCGGCCCTCAAGCGGCTAATAAATGGAGGTAAAGAGGAAAACGTGAAAGCAGGAAGAGGGAGCGCTGCGATCGGCGCCCAGATCCTCAGCTGGGGGGGGGGGATTGGGGCCAAAGAGCCCCCAGCAGGAGAAATTATCCATATATCTGCTTGCATTACAGAGCTGGTGTTACCTCATGTGCTCTTTTGCTGGGGGGGTGGGACTCAGCTTAATCTCTGTGTGTGAAAGAGTGTTATATTACTAAGCTATACAGCATGTATTCAGCATGCAGAAGGGCACAGATAGGCTGGATCACAGCGACTCGCCCAACCTGCCAGTATCTGAGATACAAACTACCTGGTGCAGGAATACTGCGAGCAACCATGAGCCATGCAGGCCTACAGTCTGTACACGACTCTGACCGACCATGAGCCATGCAGGCCTACAGTCTGTACACAACTCTGACCGACCATGAGCCATGCAGGCCTACAGTCTGTACAC